CCCCTCCCCTCACCCGGATAGGGATAAGGTCTGTTTATACTCTACCCTCCTCATACCCCACTAATAAAATTCTACTGGGTTGTTGTTGATCATCTTATTCTTTCAAGTAAAAAAAATAAAGAACTAAGTGTTTGTAAAATGTGATGGTTGGAATATCTTACCCTCTTGGATCAAATTCATGTATTCCCAACCAATACAAACCCTATAAGCAAATATAAAAAAGAGAAATAAATCAAATTTATTAAAGTATAATTCCAAAATTAATTTATAAATGGAAGAAAATTAGCTCTTTACTTCAGCTATAAAATCTTTAGAAGCACTTTTGGCAAGAGGAGATCTCAGCTGTCCCAAATAAGCAATAGGACTTAATAAAGCTGCTGATCTCAACATGTCTATTAACTTATTTTGTGAAATTGCAGCCAATGCAATTAGTGTCCCCTGGCACCAACAAAAAATATAATCCAATAATTAGTTATTTCTTAAATATATTACTTATAATATGTTCAAATTTTATGAAGGTTAATTTCAACGATGATCACTAAACCATCAGTCTGTCGCACCAAAGTCACAAAACTAATTTTGTTAATTAAGGTTTCCGTCTAAGTCTTCGAGTCCTCGATTCGGTCCTCTCTTGGAAGTGGGAAGTGAGGGGGCAGTGCTGTTTCCATTTGGTTGTTTCTTCCTCGTTGTTGATACAAAATAACTTAATTTTTTTAAATTTTTCGGAAAATCAAATGCCTAGAAAATCCATTAGCAGATACAAGAAATCCAAATAGCAGGCCATTTTTGCTAGTTTGGCATACATATTTGGATTTTCGAGCGACAAAAGTTAGTTTTTGTTAATTAAAAATAACTTATTTTTTGTAAATTAAAAATAATTTAATTTTTTCTACATTATTCGAAAAATCAAATTCCTAGAAAATCTATCAGGAGACACAAGGAATCCAAATAGCATGCCACTTTTGCTGATTTGGCTTACATATTTGGATTTTCGAGTGACACTTTCTTAATTAAAAATAACTTAATTTTTGTAAATTAAAAATAATTTTTTTAACATTATTTGAAAAATTAACTGCCTAGAAAATCCATTAGAAGACACAAGGAATCCAAATAGCATGCCACTTTTTGCTGATTTGGCATGCGTATATAGATTTTCGAGTGACAAAATTTAGTTTTGTGACTTTGATGCAATAAATTAAAAATTTAAGATCATTCGTAAAATGAACCTTATTTTTGAAATTAAAAAATAAAAAAGTATGGGCAGAATGCTAAAAATAGACAAAAAATATTTACCAGAGAATGGCCAACATAGTGTAGCTTTTGGCCAGTTTGATCATGAACATATTTTAGTGTAGCAGGTAAATCAAAATCCACCAATTCATCCCATGACCATTCCCAATATTCCTGTCCAAAAAATCACAAAATTAAAATTGGAAATTGCTTTTTTGGCTAATTTAATACTCCCTCGTCTCATTTTAACAGTGGTGTTTACTAAAAATAATTAATTATCTTAAATTATTTGTTATTTTAAAAGTTCAAGACAAAATTGATTGTTTTTCCTTTTTTACCCTTAATAATAATTGTTCTTGAAGATGGAGATAACACATAAATATAATAAATACTCAATGAAGAGAGATTATATCTTACTCCCTCCGGTCCAAAATAAGTGATTTTTTGAATGTTTTCACACAAATTAAGAAATCCACCTTTTAGCATTAATTAGCAATGGAATTGACCAAATTAACCTTTACTATCTCACATAAACACTCCAAACACATATTCCAACACTATTTACTCCAAGGACAATGTAGGAAAAAAAATAATTAATTAATTCATTCTTGAAATTTGGAAAAATCACTTATTTTGGACCGGAGGGAGTGAGATATAAATAAAGGTAGAATAGTCAAATCCCTTTCCTAATTAATAGAGAAACACGACGCATAATATGAGACTGAACTGGATCTTGAGGACTAAGTGAAGTATGCCCTTGGCTATATTTAGTTCCTCTTGTATTTGCAATCCAAACATCATAACCTTCATCTGCTAAAATAAAAGCTAGAGATTGATCTGGAGGATTTAACAGCCATGTAATTCCATCCTGTAATGGTAAAAACTTATTTAGCAAAATAAGGAATTTAACCTTTATTTTTTGCAAAAGGTTCAATAAACTCTTGTAGAAAAAAAGAAGATATATATTTTGCTTGAAAAATTTCGTACACACATAAACTTTACGGATGATCTATTATCCCTTTATTTTTTTCCAAATGATATCCATTATATTCAGAGGCGGACTCAAAATTTGGTGGTCGCAGAAAAACTATGATATTTACAATAAATTTATCACTGCTCATAAAGATTGGTACGGGAGCCTATGCTAATATTTGGCTATTTCTTAAAGACATGTACATGTATTTTCACTTGCCTAAACAAGTTTGAAAGATTTCAGGACTTTGGTCTAGTGGTAAGAATGAAGTCCGTAATGTGTGAACTAATCGCACATTATGAGTTTGAATTCTGTCGCAGACAAAACCTGGTATTTTAGTGGAGAAGAATATAAGACAGACTTTAGAGTGTTAAATCGAATTGGGCCGGTTATCCACTAATTCTAGCTCGTATACTACTGACTCTCAGGGATTTCTTGATTATGAATAAAAAATCATACTGGAAAGACTAAATATGTTTATCTTGAACAAGCCAAAGATTAAATATAGAGAGCATAATTAGAATCAAAGTGAAGAATTATAACCATCAATAGTCCATGTTGTAGAAGAACAGGTGGCTTAGTTGCTGCCTTTCCTGATATTCCCTTAGGAATCCTTTGTAAACTGAGAATATAACCATCTTCTGTTGTCACCTAAAAATAAAAAAATAAAAAATTATTAAAAAAAGAATTACAAGGTGCAAGTTATATATTTTTGGAAAAATAATATTGTATAATCGCTTTAAAAGTAATAAGCCGAAAAATGTATATATATACATCTTGTACGTTATATACAAAAATTATACAAATTTTATACATTTTTTCGGCTACCGAATATAAATAGTTTCTGACGTGAGCCAAAAGTGAAAAAATCCTATATTTTTTGTAAACTAAGGAATCTGCTGCCGCTACCATTCGAGTGCGCTCTGGGTAAATCCGGCTCCTCCATAATAGCTCGCAAACCATATTAGAGAGGTAAATCGCACTAAACAAGCCTCGTGCGATGAGCTTGACCGAGAAAACATACAGAGGGTTTCAAACCAACAAAGTGCATGTTATATAATCACCAATTTTGTTACTTTTTTAAGATCTTGAACATACCTTATGTTCTTCACAACCATAGCCTTGAGTTTCTACCATAGATATACAAATACCATCATCATTTTGATCACTCAATATTTGCAATTTATTCTTTGCTGCAGAAACACTTGATACAAAGAAAATAACTACTAAACTTGTAGTAATTAGCTTTCTCATTAAAGCCATAACTCAAACAATTTCACTTTTGAGTTTTCCTTATATCCAAAGTTCAATTTTGTTTCCTTTTTATAATAGTTGTAATTAGTGCCAAAAAAGAAGAGACAGAAAAAGGTATAATGTTAATTCCAAGAAATGGTATTAATCAAAGCTTCTCTTTTCTATCGGTATATTGTCTTTTTATAAACATCTGTACAGAGGCGGATCCATAATTTGAAGGTCGGAATACTTATGAATTTAATCAAAATATATTTTATATATCGGGTGCCTACTATTAATATATTATTATTTTCTAAAGATATAAGTATATATGTATATATTGAAATTTTTACCGAACTTTACAGATACCGACAACCCCCAGCCGGAGGGCGGATCGAATCGGAGTTTCCTTAGGTAGCCACCGACCTACAGTTATCCTTAAACTTCCGTGCTTGGTGGAGCCCCTTTATATAGCATAGGTCCGCCTTTGCTTCAGGATATTATTGTTGCCATGACGATGCGTAGTATTATCAATTTATGTTAGTCTTTAATTTTGTTGTTAATACTGACTAATTATAGTACACACTAGTTAATTGGATTAAATTATAATACAAATTTAGTTTTTACATAACAAAATTTTATAAGATATCCAAAACATTAATATTTCTACCAGTGAACTATCACTTGATTATGAAAAGAAAAGTTGTTTGTTTTTTATTTTTCAAAAGTCAAATTACAATTTGGTTTAGTTGGAATTTTATAATATTTGGAAACTATGCTGGAGAAAAAAGAATTATAAGTTGGTGTGCTCCTTGTGGCAAAGTGAACAAGTAATAAATTTTAGAACATCATTAATAATGTAGGCCATTAAGTCACAAATGGAATGCGATTTATAAATGACAATTGAGGAATGTGATCAATAAGTTGTATTTTCGAATGCGTAGTCGCATTATAAATTGGATGCAATTTAAAAGCCTCGTTTAAGGAATACCCTTTATGAGTCGCATTTGGGGAATGCACTCTAATCTCATATAACAAAGAAGTTTCCGAAGTTACGAAGGAAGCTCCAAACTCATACGGGTCAAATGCGATTTATAAATCACAATTCATGTAATGCAAGTTATAAATATTCATTGGTTGTGATTTATAAGTCGCATTTAATGAATGTGATTTATAATGAATGCGCTTTATAAGTCGCATTTGATGAATGTGCTTTATAAGTCATGAATGCGCTTAGTAAGTCACATTTGGTGAATGCGCTTTCTGCTCTCATATAACACTACAAAAAAGTTTTCGGAGTTACGAAGGATGCTCCAAATCATACTGGTCAAATGCGATTTATAAATCACAATTCATGTAATGCACCTTCCACGAAATTATTCGAGCGATTTATCATTTTAATCTAACAAGACATAATCCTTTATACGAATTTATTCACGCACTCGTGTGACATTTTGAGTATTTCTCTCACGTGTCTCACATAAATATATTTTAAGCAATTTTGGTCCTTTAAGTTTGCTAAAAAGTGTGTATTTTTTTTAATTTCGTCAAATATCTAACTTTGGCTATTAAATAATTATAAAAAGAAGTAATTGAATGTCGTTGTTGTTAATTATTTTAACTAGTATACGTACCCGCGCGATGCGCGAATTATTTCAAAGGAAAAAATAATATAGTACAAATATGTTTTTATTTTAGACTAAATTTAGCGATCACATTCTAAAGAATTAAATCAAAAAACAAATATATGAATTTCATAGGATTGTATGCGAGGGACCACCAATATTTATGCACTAAAACATGATTAGTAGAGAATGTTGGATAACTAGAAGAATTAAGAAGATTCTAAAATTGATTTCCCAAAATTCACTTTAAGTGCATATACACATCGCCCATAGTTGCAGGGATAGTAAATAATGATACAAAATCTCAATCAATATACACATTGGCAGAAACATTTGCCTCAGAAGAATGTTCTTTGCATGTTCAAAACAAAACAATTTATTTATTACACATTGGTAGACTGTGATGTATATGTATATTACAGATTAAATTTATTCACCGCAATCAAAACAATTAAAACAAAAAACAAAAAGAATAATTTGATCGGGTAGTCTCTATAACTCTTTTTGGCTAGCCACCAAATCTATTTATTCATGTGACTTTTCATTTTATCCCTTATATGCTATCTATATATTCAAAGCAAAAAACCCTTAATTAAATAGTGAAATTATATCAATGCCATTCTAACTTGCTTATAAGAATAAAAAATAAAAATTAACACCTATTGTTTAATAAACATTCAAAAGGTTACGATTAGCATGAGATTTTTAACATGAAATTTTCTTATCTGATATGTTCACAACTATTTCATGTTCATGTTGCTTCAACATACTCTGCACCATCATATGCCACTGACAAGATTGCTGCTTCCTCAAATGAAATATTTTTTGGCTTCATTGCCACTAATTCCTCCTCAACTACTATAAATTTTGTAAATGCCCCCATCTGCTTTATGTTATCAATAGTAAAATATTGAGTATTCCCATATATAGGGGTGTCAAATGGGCGGGTTGGGTCAATTTTGGGCGGGTAGGCTAAGATGGGTTGGGTCAAGATGGGTTAAAATTCGGCTCAACCCGCCCAACTCTTATTAAACTTTAATTAATATGTGTTATTTTCTTATAAATTGTATAATTACTAAATAAGGCTTTTTTGCTTTTGTTATGGTCATATTTAAAATATTAAACAAAAAATAAAATTATTTCTAAGATATTTTGACAAACTTGTTCATGAATCAATTTGGGCTAAAAATTAGCCCAACTTTAATTGGGTTGGGTCAAGATGGGCTAAGTTCAATAAATGGGCAGGTCAATAACTAACCCAACCTTGGGCGGGTTGGGCGGGTCATTTGGGCTTGGGCCAAATTTGACAGCCCTACCCATATACATCATAACATATTCCAAGTCTTGATACAAAATCTCCTATTTCCATCGCAGTTGTACTTGGTGTCATGGACAACTTAGAATGTCTCAACTCTAAGTTGTTTTTTACAAAATAGGGTCCTATCAAGTAATGACAATTGCTAAGTACAAATTATATCCAGTAACCTTGAAATCAATATTGATTATAACGACTCCAACGCTCTCACCAGACCTAAGAAAATATACTTGCCATGAAAAAATAAATTTCTTCCTTACTTTTTTAGAGCGATGCTGCACTTTATGGAAAGTACTTCAGTCATATAGCTGAAATCTTCTTCAACTAACTTTGTGATCCATCTCTGGTGGAAGATGCAAGCTATCAATGGTTTAATGTAAAAATCTATCAACATAATTAAATAGCTCCACACTCACATCTATTCAAGCATGCATGTCGCACATCAAACCTTTACTCTCATATCAATTATGGATAACTTAATGGATAAATAAATCAACTAAGAATGGAGAAAAATTCATCGACTACATATAAAACCAACATAGTAGTAAAATGGGTAAAAAAAAAAATAACCAACACCACCAAGCAGCCTAATTAAGTAAAAAATCAATGGAGTTTTAAAAATCTATGAAATGTCATATGTATTTAGATAAAGAACAGTTTAGTATCTGAAAGAACCATGAACTGATTCAAATATTTTGTCCATAATAAATAAAATTACCAAACTAACTAAACAGGAAAAGTTCAATATCAGGAAAAATATGAAATGATTCAACCATCTTGTTTATAACTAATAAACTAACTAATCAGATAGTTTTTAGATTCTCCAATTGTTACATATGCAAAAGCATATATATTGTCTTCTTCTTTTTTAAATACTCTCTTGATCTTATTTCCTGATAATCTTCTTCAACCACTACTACAAGATTAGTTATACCTATCTTGGCATGTGTATTTGCAATATCGATCAACCCATGATCTTCAGCGGAATCCTACATATTTAATATATAAAAACTTGATAAAATCAGTAGTTAATATATAGTTCTTATTGCTTTATTATTTTATAACCTACAAATCATTTAATTAAAAGAATAGATTATATCAAATATTAATAATGAGTTATAAAATTACCATGATTTCGTTATCTTCATGACTGACTTTGTTATTATTGAAATCTGGATCCTATAAAAAATTGTGTATCATAATTAAAACTCAATTCAATCACAAATAGGAAAATTGAGAAGAATTTGAGTATAGAAACACACTTTGAATCTCTTCACATGGAGAAGGAATGTATTTCTTTATAATTTCCTCGTCATCAGTAAGCGTAACAATATTTGCCTATAATTTACACCTCATACGTGGACCACATTAAACCACATTATTAGACCAATAAAAAATAATTGAAAAAAAAATAGGCATTCATAGTTTGTAATTTTCAGAACATACAATACGTGAAAGAATACATGATGTTGATATGATATAATCTGAAGGATGAATAGGTTTAAACAATACCTTTTCATCCATCAGAACAATGGTCTTATGCGTGAACATCAACTTAAACTTGTGGTCTTTGGTCTTCAGCTTCATATTATTTGGACAAACCACAAAATTCTTCATGATGTACAAACTCATTTCCTTAATTTTTTGTTTGAACCTTTGGATAAAAGACCTGCCAATACTTGCGTGAATGCAGTCACCCTACAAAAAACTCAATTAGTTAAAATGACTAAGTTATTTCGTATATGACTGTAATATACTTACGCATATGTAAAAAATGATAAATAGAAAGTAAGTATAAAGTTTTAAACAATACCCTTCCATCCATCAGAACAATTTCAATTGAAAATGAGTTGTCAGGCCTATCGCGATCCGGATTTTTCCAAAGCCTAACAATACGAACCTTTAACTTCCAATTCTTTGACTTCCTGTTAATTTCACTAACGAAATTGTTTTCAACCGCCATTATATCCTGAAATAGACAGAGGAATTTGTAAATATAAGTAGAAACTAAAACTGCACAAAAATATCTATGAAAGGAATACCATTCCATCATGGAAAAAAGATTGTTCATGAAATACAAATCATACAAATTACCTTCTGTAGTCTAGAATTGTTGTTTGATATGCACGCGATGGAGAAAGAACAAAACTATATACTGTAAAAATAGAACTGATTTGATAAAAATGTGAAATCACGTTGCTGGAATCTTGGGCAGAAGAGTTCGTGGATAAGGAGTTGATATCGTGGTGAGACATCTTGGGATTGAGGTGCCGAATTGTGGGATTGAGGTGTCGAATTTGGAGGATAAAATTTTTAGGGCAAAAGATAAAAATAGCGTTCCCAATTGTCGTTCTTATTTCAAAATGTATCTATATCTATTTGANAATATTAAAAATTACTAACTATGTCATGTGGTGATTTGTCTCGTTTGAACATATTAAATTATATTATTTTAATAAAATTTTCAGTATTAGTTTATTTTTTATCTCAAGCTTTAATAAGTCTTATTCTTTTAAATTTTACACAATTTTTTTGTTCTTTGCTTATAATTATTATATTATTTATTATTTAATATTATTATACTTTCATGTGATTTTTTCGGCTTACTAATTGTCACGACCCGGGTTTTCCACCATAAATATATAAATATTATTATACTTTCATGTGTCGTGATGGCGCCTACTATCGGAGCTAGGCAAGCCAAATATATAAAACACTTTTCCTGCTTTCTTCCATCAATAAAATAAACGAGACAAAATTTAAGCGGAAGACTTTAAATCTAAAGCAACTGAGAACCAAAAGTGCGGA